AACAAGTGATCTAAAACTTGGTCTCACTTCAGGTCAAAACAAGAGATCTTTAAGATAAAACTTGTTCTCACTTGAAGTTAAAACTTGATCTCACTTAAGGTAAAACGGGCGTACCTGAGATGTAATGGGCCCATAAGTTAATATTGGAACAACAAGATGAAAAGGACGCACAGTTAAAGACCGTAAAGGCTTGAAAGGTAGGTGATTAACGTACCTGGTATGGACATGGACATACACACAGCACGTCTGATTGGAAGATGGGGTGTGGTCTTCACGTGACAGAACGTTACATTCATTCTGTTGACGTTGGTAACGCAGATACACAGCTCTATACCTTTCTTCATGTATAACTAATAAAATAAAATACAAAATAGATTTACAACAGAATAACTGGACAACCATCATATTAAAGAAATCCTCTAATCCTTACACCATTCTGATTTTCTTGTATTTCTATGTGTATCAGAGATACTTATAGCCTCTATTTACATCATTCTGATTTTCTAGTCTTTGTATGTGTATCAGGGACACTTATAGCTTCTATTTACACCATTCTGATTTTCTAGTCTTTGTATGTGTATCAGAGACACTTATAGCTTCTATTTACACCATTCTGATTTTCTAGTCTTTGTATGTGTATCAGGGACACTTATAGCTTCTATTTACACCATTCTGATTTTCTAGTCTTTGTATGTGTATCAGGGACACTTATAGGTTCTATTTACACCATTCTGATTTTCTAGTCTTTATATGTGTATCAGAGACACTTATAGGTTCTATTTACACCATTCTGATTTTCTAGTCTTTGTATGTGTATCAGAGACACTTAAAGCTTCTATTTACACCATTCTGATTTTCTAGTCTTTGTATGTGTATCAGAGACACTTATAGCTTCTATTTACACCATTCTGATTTTCTAGTCTTTGTATGTGTATCAGACACTTAAAGCTTCCATTTACACCATTCTGATTTTCTAGTCTTTGTATGTGTATCAGGGACACTTATAGCTTCTATTTGCACCATTCTGATTTTCTAGTCTTTGTATGTGTATCAGACACTTATCTTATTGTTTATGTGAAAACTCTACTTTAATTCACTATAGTTACCTGTTTGAAAGTGATGTCTGCATCACCGACCTTCTTCTCGATGTGTTTTCCCATTTCATTATAAACCTTGCTTGTTGGCTTCCATCCAAAACTATTTATCATATTAGGCAAAAGGTTCAGAACGCCCCATGGGTTGTCTACAATTAAAAAGACATAAAAGTGGCAAAAAGGTTCATACCTAGATTTACTTTGTATATTTTAACGCATCTATATAACAGTCCAAGAAAAGAGTTAGAAGGCATGGTTCGACATTTTCATGAATCAATCGCTATTTCTAAGATTTTCTATTTTGAAGAAGGTTAATAACACAGAAGCCTCAATCGAAGCTACGACGAAAGATGTCTGGGTGTCAGAGATATATAAACATTGAACAAAAATTGCGAAACGGTGGACTTTAAAACTAGACGTTAATGGGACATTCCGCTTTCTTTGTAGGTCGAAAAAATATTGTTCTCAAATTTGGGAAAACTATACACCAAAATCTAGAGAAATGTGCCCTTTAACGTATCTGAAAGTTTTAACTAAAAAAATCCAGCCGTTAATTTTTAAACGCCAAAAAACATAACTTAAGGTTCGTTATGCATTTTGGAAGCTGTTAGAAAACTACTGTGCGGATTTGAATTAAGAAAAACGCCTAATTGTAGAGACATGTGTCTCTTAAGTATTCTAAAGGTTTCGACTAATATCAAAGCTAGGTCAAACTGCTTAATCAACAATTAGTACTCTCCGTTTTTAATAAACCTCTTTAAAACAAATTCAGTTTGATCAAGAAGATACATAGATGTAAATAGCAAACTTTACAAAAAAAAGTGGAATACACCTTTAAGGTGAAAAACTCTGTTTAATTGGTAAAGTTACGAAGCCTTTTTTCTATGTGTATTAGGGACACTTATAGCTTCTATTTACACCATACTGGTTTTCTAGTCTTTATATGTGTATCAGAGACACTTATAGCTTCTATTTACACCATACTGATTTTCTAGTCTTTGTATTTGTATCGGGGACACTTAAAGCTTCTATTTACACCATACTGGTTTTCTAGTCTTTATATGTGTATCAGAGACACTTATAGGTTCTATTTACACCATTCTGATTTTCTAGTCTTTATATGTGCATCATGAATACTTATAGCTTCTATTTACACCATTTACACGAAGCCTTTTTTTCGATGTTATGTTCAACAAACAAGGCTTACTTCCGCCTGGTCACGTTGTTTTTTTATTTCTTTGCTTCTATTTCAGAGTTTTCTATGTCACATTTTAAGAAGAGGTGATAGCGAATGATAAATTAATTTACCGTTTAATACTGATGATATGTATTTTGGTTCTAGAAAATTTGAGATGTCTTCGCTTCCATACCCAACGGCGAGATAGCAGGCGCACATTGCCCCTGCACTGCTTCCGGCAAACCTCTTGATTTTCTTCGCCAGTCCAATTTCTTCCATATACTACAAAAATAGAAAAGCTTCAACATAACTAGGACTCCTTGTTCTAGAGTTAGACAGATATGGACGTTAAGCTCTATTTCTTTTCTGAAATGCGGGTCGAGTTGACAAACCTGAATCTTAAATAAACATTATTACGTTATCAGCTACTTGGACTGAAAGAAATGACGAGTTGACAAACCGCTCTAGGACATAGATATGTGACTCTCTGAAAGGTGGTT